ACAATGCTAACAACGGCACCTGTTGCCCATGTTGCTAATGGCAACAACAGCAATTCGAGTGCCGGCAGCAACAGCAACAACCATAGCCTTTATAGCAATAACAATTTAAATACGGGCAACAATAGCCAGCAGCAACAGCAACAACATCAGCAGATACTGCCGGTCAAGTACGACTATTTAGAGAATCTAACGAGCTCGGGAGCAACTTCAGGTGCCATTGCAGCGACAACAACTTTTACGGGTGCTGCGAAAAGTTTCCATCCCTATTTGCGGCCCACCGGCAACAATAGTGGCGGCATCGCAGCATTATCTACAACAACGGCAACGGGAGCAACGGGAGCAACAGCGGCAAAAATGTCGACAACAATGTTTGAAACACTCTTGCACAACCAAATAAATTCCAGCCCAACAGCACTGCCAGCAGCCACAGCAATCGCAGCAATATCTGCAGCAGCAACAGCAACACCAGGCACCGCTGCAACCGCAGCAGCAGCAGCAGCGTCAACGCAGCTGAATTCCAGCATTAATTCCAGAACTTCATTAGGCGACCAGGGTGGCGCCATTGTTGTTGTTTCCCCCGCTCCACCCGTCGCCGCACCACCACCCATCAGCGGCCCAAATCGGTGAGTGTTTTCCCCCTTGTTCGAATTCGAATTCTTGCATCCGGTTTTTTTGCCTCAATGGCGGCTAATGACTGCTAATTACACTCAAATGATTTGATGCTGCACAAGGTAATTTTTCACGGAAAATCGAGGAAATTCAGATAGTTGTTTCCATTTTCAGTTAGTTCTGCGAAGTGCTTTAGGGTTTATTTCCAGTTTAACACAGTTAATCTTGAAAATTATCCCTGTTTTGAATAAGTGATTATGGTAGTTAAGTGTATGTTACTTTCTCAATTTTCTTATATTCTTAAAATACAAAATTACTCAACTATTTAAAAAATGTATTAAAAAATTAATATGAAATGATATATTTCAATGTTAAAGTTACCGCAAAGAAAAATGTTCTTATGATCTAAAAATATGCATTTTAAAATAATCGTTCTGTCCTTAAAACATAAATTTACCAGCTTCGCCCCCACATCTTCGTTGCTTATCACTTTGCATATTACCTTGCCGTTATGGAACATTTCAATTTCCTATAGCCTTCCAGGACATCACCTGCCACCCCCAGACAACTTTGGCTATCACATTTCAAATGGTTATTTCTCGGACGTGCGCCACATTTTCTATTTGGGGGCTTCCTTTGCCCGGAAATTATAAAAATATTCCCACCGAATGTTGAATCCATCGGCGGCCCACTTCCCAGCCTGATTTAATTAAAATAAGTGACAATGTGCATTGGCCAAAGGGCCGGGTGGGCGGAATATTGGGTGGTGGAGAAAGGGGGCGAAGGTTGTGGCAGCCATCAAGTGGCTAATGATAATTGCCATTGCATTAATGTTATTAATTGGCAACAGCCATCAAGGCGACAATTTTCACATAGCCCAAGTCATCAGCGATAATGGCGAATGATTATTGACAGGACACTGTAATTATAATATTAAAGCATCTTCATAATGATCCCAAAGACGATTATCCTGGGGGGATGGTAAGGAATCGTTGGGAACTCGACTCTTCTATGCTGAACCCAGCAATCGTCCATCCGGCCGTCTCTGCTGTCGTTCTCGGTCATTAAATAATAAAGCAGGAATTATTAAATTTATGTTGGGTCATTTTTATACGGCCTCGATTCCACACAGGCGGAGGCTGCAGCCTTATCCAGCCCCAACTTCTTGTAAATACATTTTTTTGCTTCCTCTATCTGTGAGCTGTTTGTTCTTGTTGTGACAGGCGCGGCATAACAAACTGCCATCATAAATTAAGTGCCACGTCATGGCGATGTCGCCACAGTGTACAGTGGTTAAGAATAGAGTTATAAAATTTACGCGAGTTTTTAAAGGTTAATCAAAAGCTGACCTGAATGTCAACTTGCAAAAACATGGTTTGTTCTTAGAGAACTTTGTAAAAACTGAAAGGTTTCTATAAGAAATTTGTAGAATTAATAATGGCTATATCCCATTTAGTTATTAAGAGTAAACGACTTTTATAGGGAAGTTACCAAAAGAATCAACTACAGTTGAATGACAATTTATAAAAATTCATAGAGTTTACGATGCAGAAAGCTCTCAATCTTCATGACAAGTTCGTATTAAAATGTAAAGACTGTTATCTAGAGTCACTAAATAAATATATTTACTTGGAACCATTTACTCACTGTTCGGAGACACTTTGTGCCCCTCGACGAGCAGCGAAAGCTGTTGATTCTCGCATTGAGCTGCGATACCAACATCGTCCTGAGCATCATCATCAAGCTCATTGGCGGCGTTGCTGAAGACACCTGCTGTCCTGGCCCAAATCCCCATTTCCCTGCGCCCACCCACACCAACACCCACACCAACACCCACACCCTTCCCATTTTCCGACGCGCTTCAGCTCCCACCGCAGGCGATTTTCTCATTAAGCCTGGTCGCATTTAAATGAAACTGAATTATTAATGCACAGGAGCAGCCCCGAGAGACCTCCGAGGAGAACTTCGAGGAGAATCGGGCCAAAGGAGCGATAGTTGGCTGGAGAAGGCACTCGGGGAGCGTTCACCCGACTCCCGATGGATTCGCGATGGCTGAAATAATTGCCTGCCCGACTCCAGGGGCAACACACCTGTCGCTGCTCCTTTGCCCGGCACCTCATACTTCCTCAATTTATTTGGTTTTACATTAAGAATGTATTTTTTTTCAATTTATGGTAACACACTCGAGAAATTGGCTGATGCGTAAATGCCTCCCGTTTAGGGATTTATGCTGCAGGCACAGCAATCGCGATGGATTACGTTCGTGCCCCTGCTCTTTGCAACTTGGCTTATTTACCTGCAGGCAGGCCTGAATTTATCACCTTGACATAGACAATTTGGCTCGTCCTCGTTCCGGCTCTAATAGATTAATTTCGTTTTGTCATTCGATGGCCCGCGGCAGCCGCCACGCTTTTCACGGGCTTTTCACTGAGTGTCGCTGGGCTTTCATCTGGGAACGGAGGCAGTTCATAAATGGCTAAGGGTGGAGCAAGGAGTGAGGGTAGATGAATGGCGGCTGCAAGCGCTGGAATTACTTACGCAGGAAATTGGAAAATGAAGAAATTTAAAAGTAAATTGGGAGTAATTTCCTAAATGGCATCGTTTCAGATGACTCCGTGAGATAGCTTGAGTTAATAATGTACCAAAACAGGGGAGAAGTTTGTCACTTTCTCGCCAAGATATTCGGTAATTTCAATTGTCATCCTGAAAGTATGTGATGCTGAAATTGTTATCGGTAATACTATTCCAACTGAGCATATACAAACATCTATTTTCGTTTAAGCTGGGTTAAATGGTAGACCAACCCTAATTTATATCTTACTCCTTAGATTAAGTATGTAAATTAAAATTTATGTGAATAAATTAATGATGGAAATAATTATTGCCTACTAAGAATACGATATTAATACGATTAGATTATAAAATTGTATTTTTAAATTTCATAGATACTTTTTCTTGCTACGTAAACACTGGCACCCTTACTGATTTTTTTGTTGTTTTTTACATTTTAAAATTATCAAAGAAATATCTATATTTAAAAATCCTTTACTAAATAAAAAGGTTGCTTTAGCTAGCGTTTTTCAATTACTTTTTACAATTTTTTAAGGATTAATTTTTCGTGAAACTTTTATTAATTTTCTTAAATAGTAAAGTTAAACAACCGAACCATTATTTTTTCAATTAGGAAACTTAAACATTCAAAAGTTGTAAGATGCCAGAATAGTTTTATTTACATCCGAGATATCCATCTCAACATACCGCTGTCACTCCACCGTAGAACTAACTGACTTAGCCAATTAAGTGCTGAAATTTATTGGGGCAACTGGCTGACAACTTCTGCTTACGGCAAATCGGCTCCGTAACCGAGACCCCCGAGCAAATTGACAGCCAACCAAAAGTCAATTTCGTACTCCATCAAGAGCACCCAATAAACCCCCATTAGGGGCAACAACAGCGGCTGGGAAAAGGGAAAACTTTTTCGGCAGCACACAAAAACCGACTGAAAGTGACCTCAAAGTGGAGCGTTCAATGCGTTGCCAGTCACTCAAAGACCCACATCCCCGAAACGCTCCTGGAAAACCCCCTTTTCGAACTGAGAGTAGAGTCGGAGACTGGTCAACCACAAAACAAAAGTAACAACGTTTACAACTTTTTAGATTAGATTAGTTTGCTAATAACAATTAGTATTTGTATTTTATGCTGTTAGCCAACTCGGTATCGCACTGGGATTCAGAACAAATGTTTCTCCCTGTTGTTATCTCCCTCTCTTTTTTATGGTCATTAGCAAATTAAGTTAGGAAGCGGAGGACTCGGATTCTGGAGAGATGGATAAACAATATGTTGTCCATGAAAGTTCAATAAAAAAGATGTGAACTTTTATTTGAGATTTTAAATCTCTTTGCTCGCCAGTAATGGATTTACATTTTGAAATTGGAGAAGTAAATACAGACATTTCATCCGCTTCAAATAACATAACTTCAACATAATAAGTTTATTTCAATTAAAAGATTTTGTTTTTGGATAATGCTAATTTAAAAGCAGCTTAGCTATTATCAGCTTTGGTATTTGCCATTATGATTTAAAGGAAATTCCATCCTTAATTCGGTTCTTTAATCACATCTTTAAGAATTTAATTAATTTATGAAGCCTAATTAGGGACGAACATTTGACTTAATTTAATTGTTTTAGAGCAATTCCGATTCAATTCTTTATGAATTTAACATATTCAAAGCATTTTATTTTATTTATTGCCGTTAACCAAATTATAAAAATATCTAATCTAATCCAAGTGCAATAGATAACAACTTTACATACACTTGCAACAAAAATAGATTTTACCAAACCCATCAATTGCTTTTGTTTTGCTGACATTTTATATTTTATCGCTAGACTTCAGAAATGTAGTACATTCCGAAAACCAGATTCCCCGTAAAATAATATTTAAAATTGATAGGCTTTGCCCGGCGATTAGATGGGAAAGTCGCTGGATGTCGTGGTCTTTGGGTCGGCGAATGTCGAGTACATAACGTAAGCCTAGTGTCGGACAAGAAAATCGATAATTAGCCAGATAAATACCCCAGATATGTCGCGGAGCTGCCCAAACCCGGAGAACTGGTCGCCGGAACGCACATGGAGACCTGTTTCGGTGGCAAGGGGGCCAATCAGTGTGTGGCAGCTGCCAAACTGGGGGCCTCCACCGCCCTGGTGGCCAAACTGGGCAAGGACGAGTCCGGCAATGGTTACATGAATCACCTGAGGAACCAGGAGGTGGACGTGAAGCACGTCGAGCAGGTGAAGGACAACCCCACGGGCATGAGCGAAATCGCGGTGTCCGACGAGGGGGAGCAGTACAAGATCAACGTGGCCGGGGCCAATGCCTTCCTCACGGCCAAGGATGTCACCCGCGCCAAGAAGTCCTTCCAGGCGGCCAAGGTGCTCCTCTGCCAACTGGAGGCGGACATGAATGCCACCATGTGCGCGATGCGTCAGTTCAAGGGCGTCTCCATACTGCAAATGTCGCCCCTGCGAAAGGACATTCCCGCCGCCATGATCAGTTTGCCCAGCATCTTGGTGGTGAACCAGGAGGCAGCAGCTCACCTGACCGAAATGGAGGAGGTGCAAACCCTCGAGCAGGCCCGCCAAGCAGCTGGGATTCTCATCGAGAAGGGGGCCAAGAGCGTGATCATCACCATGGGCGACCAGGGAGCGGTCTACATGTCCAAGAGGAACGCCGATATGTGCACTCATGTGCCGGCCTCCGATGTTCCCCACTTGGCCGATTCCTCGGGGGCGGGTGATGCCTTTCTGGGCAGCTTGGCCTATCATGTGGCCCGGTTCCCTAAGCTGACCCCAGAGCATCACATCAGTGCGGCCAACTCCTGTGCCGCCTATTCCCTGGGTCGCCGCGGCACACAGCCCAGTTTTCCGGGCAAGGAAGGGGCCAAGAATGATCTATGCTTTTCAACGCCCACTTTTAATGTCATACCACCTCCGAGTGCGGAAACCGAGAACGAGCCTGAGGAAGGAGCAACCGCAGCTCCACCAGTTGTGGAACCCGTACCTGCACCTTCACCCGAAGAACCTCCCGCCGAAGAAGCAGTTGTTGAAGAAGAGCCACCACCGCCACCACCACCTCCTCCAGCAGAGGAACCTGTTGCTGAAGAGCCACCTCCACCACCGCCTCCACCTAAACCAGAGGACGCTCCCAAACCCGTGGAGACTTCTGACGAGCCACCTGAACCCACAGAGAAACGATACACAAACGTGAGGGATGCCGATGAAATTGAGAAGGTGGAGAAAAGAAATACAGAGGCTCCTGCGAATAAAACTTGAAAATCTAGATTGTTAGCTGTGCAAATTAGCTGTGATCCCATTAAAAGCAAAATTTACTTGTTAAGTAATTATCAATTTTAAGCAACATTTATAAATAAAAACATTCTAATCAATCCAGGGGTATAATCTAGAAATTATATTCTTATTCCAAAGTGTATAAGGTTGGGAAGGTTGTTAATTGCAATTTTTCTATACTCGGTTTGTAAAACACATACAATGAAATTGTAATAGTTTTTCTTCACAAACAATATTTTTAGGCTGACTTAACAGGAACTAAAAATATATCTAATTTTTTTCCTTACCGGTATTATAATAATGACTGTGATAAGCTCTTACCAAAGAAAACTCTTCTATCGGTAGGTTTTTCTTCCGCTTGATATTCGAAATTTTATTATGTTTCCACAATAATAAATTCTTTTAATTATTTACTACACATCTACTTAACTGATTTCAAGTCTTCAGATTTAAGACATGTAAAATGTTTATTTCTCAATCAAAGTATCCCACAATCCTTCATATTCCTCAATTTCCATTGCAGCAACCAAAGTCCCACGGATGAGAGCTCCGTCAAAATGGAACTCATGGAGACGAACAGTCCGGACTTGATCAAGGATCAACCGGATGCGGACAACATCAAGATGTTCGTGGGGCAAATACCCAAGACTTGGGACGAGACCAGGCTCCGCCAAATGTTCGAGCAGTTCGGACCCGTGCACACGTTGAATGTGCTCCGGGACAAGGTCACATCGATTAGCAGAGGTGAGTCTCAGAAGATGTAAGCCACGGCACTGGGCATACAAATGGGCGGATTACTCGGGGGGTTCAATGAAATTTTACAATGTCCATCAATTCTGGGTCCCCGGGCTGTGCGGATAAACATCAAGTAATATGATTATGCTGATGGCGAACCCATCAACATTAAAACCTGCCCCCAGCACAGGTGTTGAGGGCAGGAATGCGGTGTTGGCCAAAGTTTTAGCCGGGGTAATTGGCCATAATTGTGCGTGTATAAACGGGAAAAACTTCCACATACACACAAGAACACACACACTGGCTGGATGCAGGACATGAGCATGTTGCTCTGGTTAATTTTCGGCTGTATTAGAATAATATGCGCATTTGCTTGCAAACTTTCCTCGAAAGCGAAAAGGGAAATTCCATTATGCATATTTATGGTCTAGAGGGGTTGATCCTGGCCATAGGTGTGCGTATGGGTGGATTAATCCTCAGAGCAAGGTGTTCGAGCACGGCTAACTCGATGAAAGCCAAGGGAGGAGTGTGGTTTATGTGGCTGCGAGTCGGAGGAGGATTATAATTTAATCTTCGTAATGGAGCAGTGGATAGTTTAGATGGGTCAGCAGAGGCGGGTTGTGTACCAACTTTCAGGAAGTTCCGTAAGTAATCCGATGAAAATAAGTGATAGCACAATGGAGAACTTACGAATATTATCAGAAGGGAACATACAAAATAAAATTTATTGAATTAAACTAAGCAGAAACAAATAAAACACTTTTAAGACTCAAAACTTAAACTTTTAAATTAGCTAACAATTAAATATATATTAAATATATACAGAAAATCAAAACAAAAGGCAATATTGAAAATCATATGCATCGAGTTTCTTGTCCATCTAATAGTATGCTATATTAGAAATCACATATATTTGCTTATTAAAAATGACAGTAGAAAAACTTTTTTATTTATTCTAGAAGATATCACGTAGCAGAAATCAAGATTTTATTTTATTTATAAAGGTGCTTAAACTATATAAAAATAATCGTCTTTTTTCGGACTTCCGTATTCAAAATATAGTGTTGCTTTCTTTAAAACCTATATAAGCAATCTCAAAATTCTTATGAAGTCTCTAGACTCCCCTATAAATTAAAATTTCTTCGTATATTAAACGATCCATGTTGATTCGTTTATCTGATAATTATTTGTAATCCCTGTCAGATTTCGCTTTATAAAATGGAACCAGAAATTTTTTTTATTTTGATTAATGTTAATTTATATATTACTAAAGCTCTTTTATAATGGAAAATATTCACAGCTTATCGGTAGCCAATTAGTAATATTTTCCAACGTCAACCTCACAAAGTCCGTAGTCCCATAGTTTTTGTCCTTGTCCCATTTGATCCGCATGGCCTGCATGAAGCGCTCGTCCCGTGTCCAGAAATCTGCATGACAATATAGAGCCATATATATCTAGCTTTAAGCCTCGGACTAAATGTTCCGGATGCATGATGAAAAGCTTAAAACAAGTAGTTATCGAAATAAGAGCTTAACTTTGTAATGGTCCCAGTAAATAATACTCAATGCATCCGGTATATATATTATACAGTATATATATAATGTTCGTTATGTATCATATGTTCTGTGCTACTGTCTATCGATTCGTTTGATTTGTATTCGATTTGTATTCGATTGTTTCATTTTCGTTTGCAGGGTGCTGTTTTGTCACCTACTATACAAGAAAGGCCGCCCTGCGCGCCCAGGATGCGTTGCACAACATCAAGACCTTGGACGGGGTAAGTACCTCCCAACACACTACACCCACTCACCCACACCCACACCAACACCCACACCGACCACCAATACACACCCTATACCATCTATGTAGCTTTGAGTTCTGCCCGTTTTCCTGTTCTCTGTGTCCATGTATGTGAGCATTTCTTTTCGTATTTGCGTATGTATGTGTGCGCGTGTGTGTGCCTTTCTTCGTAGTTCCCATACACCCATACACCCATAAACCCAGTACAGTTACTGTTTGTGCGCCCTTTTGAATAATACAGCTTGAGAAAGTCAACCGCTTGCTACCCGATCGATCGATGACATACTTTCAGCGCATGGTTTTTGGGGGCGGGCACGGGGGTGCAGGGGTGCAGGGGCTCTGGTGGACTATTGGTGTATGGCCAACACAAAATGTAATCATCAGTCAATTAGTGGATTCAATTATTGAGGACAATCTCATTGTTAACGTATTAAATGAAGCGTTCCACGCACAAGCAAACACACTAAGATTGCTGGGGATTGGATCAGCAGGGGCAGGTGGTGGGTGAATCAACCGATTGGATGTGACCATGCACAGTGGTTCAATATTCAAATGAAAGTATCCTGTAATAACTGTATAGTAACCCTTAGGATAACACACTTAAATGCAGTAAAATATCTCTGTGCGCTAAGCCAAGATCTGATTGTGGCCCTTGAAAAAAAGTAAGCACAATGCCATAATTGAGAATTTATATTCCATTTATAATGCTTGAAAAAATAGATGACCATAAGCTCATCTTCCCATGAGGGAATCTGTAGAATGAAATATAGTTTACATTTTGTTAAAATGCACTATAGTTATATAGATTATACCTCTTTATTGTGATTAAAAGTTACAATCACAAATAAATAGGTATAATCTAAAATAAAACAAAAGTGCATCTCAACAAAAAGATTACCGAATTCCGTTCAACTTGAAACCACAGTTGGCACTCGCTCCATCATTTACATATTCAAATCGTTAATGGAAAATCCATATAGGAACGTTCGGCTGGCACTAAAACAAGGACCCCAACTCACACAGGCAAACAAGGAGTTTAAGGGGGGAATAAGGTCCTAGCCAAATGGCGCCACGTGTGTAATTGTCAAAATAATGACCACATGTGTGTGTGTGTGTGTGTATGTTTGCAAGGTGGATCTTTGTTTGTATAAGTAAGTGCCTGGTCGTCCAGCTATGCGTCCCTGCGAGGGTATGTGTGCTGCAGGGTGTGAGTGTGTGAGCATGTCTGATCCTTTAATGCATTTGGCAGGCTGCCCTCAACGGAAAGGACATCGATGTCGACATGGACGTGGACGTGGAGGTCCTCGTCAGCTCCGAAGCTACTTAATTTACCTGAAATAATCGATAGGTAAACAGACGTTAAAATGCCCACATTCCCACACACACAGAGGAAATGCCCAGCTTGTCAACGGCCACAATAAATATTTTGTTTTGAACTGCCCACTTTTCTCGGCCCTCCTACTTTTCTCCCATATAACTATATGTATGTGTGAGTGTTAAGTGTCCTTGCCAAGCGTTGTCCTTTTTCTCGCTCTCATTTTTTCTGGCACGTGTGAAAAGATACAGTTGCAAGTCGGACAAAATGAAGGAGGGGACAGGGTTCAAGTGAAAAGCCCGAAAGTATACTATGAACATTTATTTGAAAATTTTGGCATAAATGTAAGCGAGGAAAGTTTTTAAGATTCTTGCAAATTTGATGAGCCATGTTTTTGCATATTGAATAATTAAATTCGGGCACTCAATAGAAATTGTTTTACAAGCTCAATTAATTTGGGCATTTTGTAGTACATTTTAAATTTTAAATGAATATTTTTGAAATGAATTTAATCCATTTTTTTTTTTAACATTAGTAATAGTCATTTTTCAATCAATTAAATCCTTCTTAATCAAACAAAGTTATTTTCAGTGTTCCAAACCACTGCTGGCATATTTAAATCAAGAAAAAAACAAAAGCTAACCACAATATTTTGAGAGCTAATTGACAATCAGAGAAGGACTAAAAAGTAACTTGCTGCAAATCGCATTATAGCCTCTATACCATTAAATTGAAAGGGTTTTCCATTCAGGATTTGGCCAACACAAACAGAGACAAATACTTGGCCAGATAAATATGTAGGCATCCACACTAGCTCGATCCTGCGAGACAGACAGTTAAATGAAATGCCAGAAAAGAGCAATTCAGATTGAGGCAGACGGCCATTTTACTCATTCAACTGTCAATTTTGAATAATAGAGGAGCAAAATGGCGCAACAATAAGTGGGAAGGGTTCAAGGATGGGCAAGTCGGTGGCTGGACAAGGACTGAGGACTACGGACTACGGACCAAGTACCAAGTACCAGAGGCGGTGACATTTTCTCGTAATTTGTGCAGAAACCTTCTGGCTTTCCCCCGTTCGGTTCGGTTTTATTTGGTTTGAAAAAGAGATGCGGGGAGGCCTCAACCCGTAAGCATTTCATTTCAATTTGCTGAACATCACTCAGTCATTCAGTCACTTTGTCCGGGTTTTGCTCCCACACGCCTCTTCTTTCGCCCGGGCAATGGGAAAAGTTTCCTGCAATTGA